AACTCACGCAGTTTGTATGTGAAAGGCTTAGGATACTCTTTAATGCCAATAAGAACCATGGCCTGTGTTTTGGTGGCCTTAACCCACTCTGTTGTGTCCGTATTTGGGAAAGAACTATTCTGCCATGCGGTTTGTACTCTTGTAATGTATGGGCCCGTTTACCTGAAAAGGAATATGATATGCTGGAAACTGTTCAAAACCAGTTTTGTAAGAGAATCCAAGGCCTTTCTATACGTGGATCATCCACAATAGCCAGAGACAGTCTCGCCCTGGTCACATAAAGATATATGCACCAGAAGTCCTTGCTATTTCTCGGTAAACTGTGTAACATCGATACTGAATTTGTCTTTAAGAACTTCAGTGGAGAAAGAGCGATATAGCAAGTCATCGCCATGCTTAATCTTGTAACAATGTATGACCCAGATATGCATTTGTACAACTATGTAAACCAATCTTCCTTCTTAACGAAGGCTGAGTGGTCTGTACTGGTTAAAGAAAGAATACTTAAAGCTGAGGATTCATATGTTGCTTCTGTAGCGAGGTTGAGACTTAACCTTGAAAGATATCAAGCCATAAGATACCCTAAAAATGTTCACAGACTGTGGTCTGCATGTTATAAAATGCCAGAATGTTTCAATAATATTGCTGTTCTTCTACGTATCAGCACACTTAGCATTCAGTCTCTTGAGCGTGAATGTGACATAGTTGCCTATGATATTGTAAAACATCTATTTCTACACTGTACTCTCATACAAAGTAGTAGAAACCCTTTGACTGAGTCACTAGTTGACATGCTTGATGTTGACACTTTTGTCAGTTTATGGAAGGACGAAAACCTATTTGTCTCATTTATGCTCTATGGTCTACCAAATGTAAATGCTCAAGAGCTTGAACAAGAAATATGGTTTAAATGTATAAAACTAATATAAACTCTATAAACCCTGGCTGCATCAACTAAAATACCTGTTCTAATTTCGATTGTCACACTCTGTAACCTGTATATACATATGTACATGTATAACATATGTTACAACCTGCTGTATCTTTTCCTTGAGGAAATAAAGATCATCTGTCTATCTATCAATCTATCTATCTATCTATCTATCTATCTATCTATCTATCTGTCTATTATCTATTGCCTGTCATGTCGGATGTCGAAAGGGTACAATCATGTTGTATATGAAGATGATATTGACAAAGTTTGGACATTTCCGCACATAGAACACAATCATGTTGTATATGAAGATGATATTGACAAAGCTTGGACATTTCCGCACATAGAACACAATCATGTTGTATATGAAGATGATATTGACAAAGCTTGGACATTTCCACACATGGAACACAATCATGTTGTATATGAAGATGATATTGACAAAGCTTGGACATTTCCACACATGGAACACAATCATGTTGTATATGAAGATGATATTGACAAAGCTAATATTTTCAACTACAACTTAGTGAGCATGGCAACGGTTAGCAATGCTTCTGATGACGTAATAGATAACTGTTCTGACAGGGAAGTCAACCAATGCCTCTATGACATAAGTTTACAAAGTGATGAAGTAAGACATATTTTACTGTCGCTTGATGTCACAAAAGCAACTGGGCTAGATCATCTTAGTAATCGTGTCCTGAAATGTTTATCTGATTCCTCTTTGTGCTCTTTTTAATGTTTCTTTATCAACTTCACAATTACCAATACATACGAAAAATGCCGTGCATCATTTTACTAATTACCGACTGTCTCAGTTGCTAGTTGCTTGTCAAAAGTATTTGAGAAGTATGCTTTCAAGCATGCATTAAATTTCTTTTTAGATAATGGAACTATCACCACATTACAATCAGGTTTCAGGACTGGTGTTTTTACATCATACCAGCTACCCCATTCACTTGATTATATAGCTAAGGCAATGGATAGTGGAAAGGATGTACGTGCTGTCTTTTGCGACATTAGTAAAGCGTTTGATAGGGTACAGCACAAGGGTCTTTTGTATAAATCATGGGCTAATGGAATACGCGGTTCCCTTTCATCATGGTTTGAAAGTTATTTGAATAATCGAAAACAATATACAGTAATTAGTGGATCAAAATCAAATATCGCCTTCAGAGAAAAAGCCTACAAACACAGCATAACTCATCTATTCTACCAATATTTGACTATTGTGATTATATTTGGAATAATTGTTCAAATGCATAAGAGTTCTTATTAGAAAAATTCATTTAAATGCCTTACGAAACGCATGTGGATCTATAAGAGGAGTACGTCATTCCAAACTTGATCTTGAAACTGTTTTTTTTCATCATTAAGCGATCAACGCAAGCTTTACAAGATGAGTGTTTTCTTAAAATGTTCTATAAAAAAAGGCCGAAACACCTATCAGATTTAATTCCATTAAATATATCCTCTGTATCCACATATGAATCTAGGTCATCCAACATTCTTTTAAAAACATCCTCTTTGTCTCCCACGAACATATAAAAAATAATTTATTCCGTCATGCATGCGTGAGTGTTACCTTGTTTAAGAAACATTTTGATCGAACCTTGCCTTGAAATGCGCATCATACTATTAAAAACACCGGTATAAGACACAATCCAATTATTCCCTGCAAGATAAGTCTGGGCTGTAGTGACCTATATGTCCCACAAATTTGACCGTTTCCTTCAAAACATTTCCACTTGTAATGGGAAATATGTCCAAGTTCGATCAAGATGTTTCTTCTATCAAAATGGCTTTGATCTACAATCACTTTTGTATGGAAATTATTTATTTTCTGATACAATTAATCAGCATATTGTCAACTTTGTACACAACTATTTTACCCCGACAAAACGTTTCTTTGGCATATTTCCTTGTATAGTATGTATATTAAGGGTGGGTATTGCAGAGAATTTTCATATTGCGATATATTGCGATGCGAAAGCATGTATTGCGATATGTATTGCAATATATTGCATGAAGTATTTCTAAACAAAAACTACTTATAATCCAGTTAATGCTTGATTTATAGAGGAAAAACACAACAAAATCACTATGCTTGATCAAGCTTTAATAACAACTTTTAATCATGATAAAATATAAATGTGAATAATATTTGGCACAAACGAAACAAGGAAATGTCCGAAGATTTCGAGTGTTACGAAGTTTTCCGAATGCAAGTCAAAATACCGGTTTTCGATCAGCGTATCGCAATACGCATCGTTTTCACGTCTGAACCGGTAAATACCGGTAAACCGGTTATATTGCGCAGCCCTAATGTATATATTAATTTCATATCATACTATTACTTATTACTGTAGACCCGTGAAGATCCGGGATAGAATAGGTCTTCAGCAACCCATACTTGTCATAAAAGGCGATTATGCTTGTCGTAAAAGGCGACTAACGGGATCGGGTGGTCAGGTTTCGTTGACTTGGTTGACACATGTCATCGGTTCCCAATTGCGCTGATCGATGCTCATGCTGTTGATCACTGGATTGTCTGGTCCAGACTCGATTACTCACAGACTGCCGCCATATAGCTGGGATATTGCTGAGTGCGGTGTAAAACTAAACTCACTCACTCACTTATTACTGTAGGTTCAAAGTGTGTTTTCCAGTGTCGATAAATGAACGTTGCATTACTATTATGCATTACTTTTGTATCGGAAAATTATTCATGTAGGCGTAATGCCCTTTACCGATCCATTCATTTATTGAATAAACTTTTGTTTAAATGAAAACGTCAATCTTTAAATATTGGCCGTAGCGGGTGACCTCGGCTGCTGTCGTTCATTGTCCGACGAACTTTGTCGATGTAGGGTATGGTTATGGAACAGTCAATATTTCGCGCATCATGGAATTTGCTCACGTGAGGTACTGGTTTCATTATGTGACAAACGCCCAAAAAGACAATGCCAATCTTTATATTTTAGATAGTAGCGGGTGGCCTCACGTAGATGGACATTGCCAAGCCAGCTGCCGTTCATTACCCGATGAAGGTCAGTGTGTGATTAAGTTGTCAGTCGAGCTGAGAGTTCAACAATTGTCGATATTTCCCGCATCATGGAATTACTGGGACGTGGTCATCTTACGACCTTTAGATAAATCGTGTGTATATGAAGGACAATAAAAAACGGATTGTTTATTTACAGTTACAGATATTGCACTATTTATCTGACGCATCGAAAACTGTAATCGTGCCGCATCAAGCCTTTTCTGATTATCGACTTATTAGGTTCTAAGTACAGCTGAAGAAACATTTAATAACTCGCCACAAGTTAAAGAAACATTATGGCAATAGCTTTTATTTTATCATACTGCAGTGTCATGCAGACACATTTCCCAGAGGGTCTGTCAATGTAGACAACGCTGCACCTTAACAATGATAAGCATTGAAATCGTCTCCAGTCAGTTCTCCAATTGTCATTTTCCTTCCATCTTTTTTCTCTTTTCTGATTATCGCATTACGTTCGAATGAAACTCTTTTTCATAGGACTTTGATATTCTATGTGTGTCAATACCAGTGGTTGGTATCATAAGGAACTACAGTTAACAGGTATAGTGGCCTACATCCAGACATCTGCAGGTAACACAATAAACCCAAGATCGATATTTTCCATATCTGAATAGTCATACAGTTGGCACTGTGTTGGCAAGTACGTAGTGAACAGCTCTGCGTGAAAGGAGCCCCAGCTCTGCGTTCGTCTGAAGATCCCATCCTTTAAGTTGGTCATACAGAGTATTCTGACTTATGGGACAGCCAATCTCGTATTCTCAATTCGATCTTACAGTTATATGAGAATGTCTTCTACCTGTTTACACAAAAGGGGTTTTCAACAGGAACTTTGTAAAAGCATTCTCCAATTAAATGTACTATTCGCATACAGTGCACAGTCACAGAATGTAACCACAAATGTCACACTACATTTATTGATTTACAAGAGGAGTCATGGAATGCTGTAGTTTATTCACTGAAAGATGACTACATATTATTTACTTGACGTGTATTCCTTTAATTCATCTGCTTTTATGGTGGAACAACAGATGGATGACTATTATATTTAATCTTTGTTTTCTCAGTTTAACATTCATGTCTGCATTCGGAAGTTATATCATTCTACTCGCAACCTCCAGTGTACTTGTCGAGTTTCTGGATTCGAAGGATTTCAAGATCAAAGTGACCAGGTGCATTCATAGTTTCCGCTATAGCCTCCATTTCTTTTGGCCAACCGGAGCGAAGTGTATCAGCTGAAATGGTGGCAGAGAATGAAGTCGTTATGAAACGTTCTCAGGAACGATAAACATCACAGTATCTTCAACAAACAATAGCAAGGGAGATTGCCTTTGGACAATACTTTAATATTGTAGATCAGATTGAATTGATGATTACCACTTTGGTCAAACCCGTGAGCATAGGAATCATACTGAGGAAAAACAAAACTGTATGAGACTAACCCTCCAGACTGACACAAACGTGTGTTATCCTCACTTGATCGTGGCCTTTGGGTATTCTATTACCCTATCAAAGCATTTTGCTACAACATTATACTTAATACGAAAACTCCTCAACAAATGTTTCTAAACGATAGTAATGTCAACGGGGAGGCGGAGGAAGAGTAGACAGTGGCGATGGAGAACTTAGAAACACAGAAACAAACCTAGAAACACAAAAATGGGATAAATGAACTGTGCAAAGTTTACTTCAAATGGAAGACCTGCTATAATAACGTTAGTCAACTGATGTAGACTAACAGTTCAAAAGTAGGGAATTTTCGTTTCATAAATTGCGAGCAGTGCTATTACATAATCAAAATATATTGGCGTATTTATCATATACAAAATACCTTCGCTTGCTGTAGCATACAAGACACATACTGGTATTATATTATGACCAATGTTTACACTCAAAGAGGTGTAGAGGTCTCTAGCCATACGGATAGAATGTGACATGTTAATAACTGAGTAAGTGAGATGAAATTTACTTCACTTTCATTTCATTTATACCACGGCTACTAGTCCATACATCTTCTTGAATGCCCCAAAAAAAAAAACAAAAAAAACCCCCAAAAAAACCAACAAAAAAAAACAAACAAACAACAACAAAAAACAACAAAACATCGATTTTCGTTTCTAAAAGGTCACGATGGAACCATTAAACACATTAGACACATTAGACAAACAATTCAATCAAAATGGTATTAATCATATGGTGTAAGTAATAACCTCCATTGCTCATACATACGAAAGGCTAACAAAAGTACATTATGACTTATTTTATAGGCAAAGACATATAGACTTCAGTATTTAAAAGAGAAGAAGGATGCATGATTTGACAATGAATATGAACATAACGTCCACTCCACTTTGCCCGGCATTTGTATTGACTCTACTTTGTTCGGTGTCTGTATTCGATGTGGAAGGGAAGAGAAGGGCGATTGGGAATTCAGAAACACAAACACAAACCTAGAAACATAAGAATGGGAGTAATGAACTGTGCAAGGTTTACTTCAAATGGAAGACCTGCTATAATAACGTTAGTCAACTGATGTAGACTAGCAGTTCAAAAGTAGGGAATTTTCGTTTCATAAATTGCACAGCAGTGCTATTAAATAATCACAATATGTTGGCGTATTTATCATATACAAAATACCTTCGCTTGCCGTAGCATACGAGACACATACTGGTATTATATTATGACCAATGTTTACACTCAAAGAGGTGTAGAGGTCTCTAGCCATACGGATAGAATGTGACATGTTAATAACTGAGTAAGTTAGATGAAATTTACTTCACTTTCATACTATTTATACCACGGCTACTAGTCCATACATCTTCTTGAATTTTTCTTTTGCCAGGCATTTGTATGACTCTACTTTGTTCGGTGTCTGTATTCGATGTGGAAGGGAACAGAAGGGCGATTGGGAATTCAGAAACACAGAAACAGACCTAGAAACATAAGAATGGGAGTAATGAACCGTGCAAGGTTTACCTCAACTGGAAGACGTGCTAGAGTTCTGAAACATGCCGCCCGTTGACCTGCGTTCAAGATGCTCATTTCTCTCTCAAACATCTCTTTCAGCATATCATCATACTGAGTTGTTGTCAAATCTGGAATATAAGAATGATTTAAACGAAAAACATGTTTCTGGGATAGCACTGCAAATGTATAGAAAATCCGTGTGTACGTGTTCCTCTGACATGTTTCTGGAATAGGTTTGACATGTTTCTGGAATAGGTCTTGGACGCTAGTTTCACAATACGTTCAATGGATTGTGTAGTGTTTAATGTAAACTGTCAACTCTAAATCCAGCGTTAAGTTGTTGATCATATATATAAGCCACCTTAAATTGCAGTGTGTACCTTCAACCGTCTTCCTGCTTCATTATGAAATTATCTATCTCTGTCACTGTGTCGCATCAAGGTCAATGTGCCTTCAGGCCACATATACGAAAAAACCTGCCTGTCTGTTATGTTTCTTGAACAAAAGCTTGACACTAATTTCATTTACGCATCATTTCAAAAGCAACTGAATGTCAGTTCTTCTTTTGTGAATTTGGATGACTGCCGTGTTTACCCAAATCCCATATCAGCATCTTGGGATATTTCAACAGTCGGGGTATTACATCAGGCTGTATGTGCATCTAGTGAAGCTCCAACCCTAGACGTATAACTACATACACATAAACTGAGTTGAACTGTCAGGCTTACCCTTGACAGGAAACATCTGTCTGCCGATGATTAATTCCTCGTCATCCTCGAGAGACGTATCATAAAAGTCTCTGGTCATGTTCAGGCCAAGTTCCCGGGCGAAGTCACTGCAGTAATACACTGGCGTCACCTTGACCTCATAGCCCTTGCGTGCCAGAAAGCTCGTCAACTGTGGCCAGCTGCACGCTTTGTCAACACGTAGAACTGCAAGTAATAGGTAGTAGTTATTTCTTGTCAAGTACCGTGTACTTTCTTACTGACCTTCAGGTTCCTGCTCTGAAAATGTCTCATTTAAACAGACAGAAATTCAAGCAATAGATCACACTGAATTTCATTTTTTAAGATAAATACTGTATTTTCTCATTACATAGTAAACTAGAAATACATACACAGATAACACAATCTGCGCTAATTTTGCACTGCTACCTCGTTTTGTAATACAGTAACATATTGTACTCGGCGATTATACGTTGAGCAACAATTAGATTTGTCTCTTAAAGGGCAAGTTTACAGAAAAAATTATACTTTTTGTCTTGCATTTTTCAGCATATAATGTGTTTGTTAATTAGTTTCATAGCTAAAACAGTACAGGCATCATAAGTAATGAATTTATTTTTTGCATTATATTGATTTCTATTTCGTACATTTACCGAGAGTTCTATGCCCACAATAAACACATCATGGCTTACGTCCCTTGCAATATGACGTCAATGGTTCCATACTGATAAACCAATGACGTCATTAGAACGTATTAGACCAATTTCACGTGGTGTAGGTACAGGTGTGTGTTGGTTTAACCCTCTTGTTACCTAGCCGTCAGCTGGCCTTGTCATTTCCACACTCTGATGATGTTGCAGTTTGACAAAAACGCATAGATCGTACAAAAAGTGTTACGACGTAACCAAATTGTATAACATTCAACTGAGTCGGTCATCTTCGTACAGCGAAATTAAACGTATGTGCACTTCATCTAGCTAGCCATCGGTGAGTGTGCCGGGATTCTGGGTTTGCTAGTTGCTATACGTACAATATGTGTCCCTCCTCTTGGATCAGTCATCACTTTGATGTCGAAACCACATCCAAATACATCACGACGATAAATGCACAGTTTTGAATTCTGCTTGAAATTCGCTCTTCTAAAATATCCTCATTGTAGAGGACAAATTTATTGAAATTTACATACATCGTACATTTCGTCAGTTTTGACAAAGTACTAAATATCCATTCACGGCGTTTTGTGTAGTTTAGTGTGTGTCTCTGAATTTAGAAATAAAACGTATCATTGCGATCAGACGTATTTTTGTTGTTGTTGTTGCTGCTGTTGTCAATTCTTGATGCAGTTCAAAATAAAATGACAAATAGTCAGATAAAAATACACATGATCAATCTATACTGCTGCTTGAATTTTCACTTAGAATGTCCTTTCGTATTTGTCCATACTTTTTTCATAAGATTAATTTCATTCTGAATGTGTTTTCCTTTGGGACTAAACAGAAGACCAGACTTAATGAATTGGCACCTTTATAATCAAAGGTTTGTAACTTTGGCCTTTTTAGCTTGCCAAATAAAGGTATCATAATGGTATAAAATTTCAGGAGTTATATTCTGTTACACTTCCCCTTTAAACCACATGTGTCTGAAAGAATCAAACAGAAACAGTTTCATAATTGAACTTACCAAGAATAACCACAGAATTCCCGAGTTCCTGTTAAAGAAACATCAATTTGTTAGTGTGAGAGACAGAGCGAGAAAGAGCGGCAGTGTCAGTGTCAGTGCACACTGTATGTATGTGTGTGTGTGTGTGTGTGTGTGTGTGTGTGTGTGTGTGTGTGTGTGTGTGTGTGTGTGTGTGTGTGCCTGTGTGCCTGTGTGCATGCATTCCAATGCACGTTTCACGCTTATTACCAACTTTTCACGTCGGAGGCTCAAACCATGTGCTCAGCTTCTTGTATATGCATGGCACACGCAACTAAAATGCATCACCCTCCTCAGAATTATCGCCAATATTGCGGGTGCCTGAGTGTGGATAAAGGATAAAAAAGGAACATGATCTCTTTCAGATTTAGAATTGGTCTTTGGGAACCCACGCATGTCATAAGAGGCGACTAGCGGAATCGGCTTTTCAGCCTCGCTGACTTGGCTGACACATGGTTGTATGTCAATTGCGTACGTCGACGCACACTTTGTTAATCACTGGATTGGCTGGTCAAGGCTCGATTATTTACATATTGCTGACTGTTTAACAGACAAAACAAAATCTCTTTCAGTATAGGCTCCCGATCCACATTAAGGCTAGGCAGTATCTGTTCAATGACCCAATGACTTCACTTACCTTAAACGAAAACAGAACCTTGATGTCAGTAAGCCCCGCCACTGTTGTTTTTATCTCCAGTATGTCGGCATTCTCGTCCCTCCCTTCCTTCGGTGGAAGGGTGATGTCCACTCTGTACATACGGGCGTCAGCATCATCAGGGTCACCGAGCACCGACAGGGGGAGACACGACAGGGCGAGGAGACCAAAGAGGACCGTGAACATTGTTGTGAAGTCGTAATGTTTCCACACAGACAGAAAGACTAGGCTTTGCTATCTTAGCTGCAGAAAGAATATACACTCTTCACAACAACAAAAAGAGAACGCAAAATGAAATTTGAAAGTTTGTACGCATATATGTCAAATTAAACATGTTTTGAGGGTGGAATATTGTTGTTGGTATGGTTTAGAAGAACATGCGTGAGCGAAAGCAAATATAAACGACTGTCATGGAAAACAACCAAATTATTGTTTTCACGTGCAAAACCTAGTAAACCCTATGATTTTAAAAGACCCAAGTGCATATCGCAAATTCATCCAAGATCTTTGTATGGGATAAGAAAATGGTGCGTATCAACGCTGCCGACCGAACTATTGCCACAAAGACAAAAGACCAGGCTTCGCACTCAGGTTTTCGCTGCTTAAAAATATAGGTAGCAGAATATAGCAGATTTTCAAATTTTCAAAGTACTCAGAAAATTTACGTATGTTCATGACTACTGGACTTTTACTTCGAAATATTGCGAGATTTGATTTCCAGTAGTCAGGGAAACAAAAACTGAACGTTGATCTTTGGTCGAACATTGTCGTCAAAGAACGATTTACAGGTATAATAAAATAATATTACCTTCTCTGGAAACGGAAGATGACAGAGTTACCACGACAAATGTAACTGTTTTTGTCTAGTTTGTAACGACAAGGACTCCATATGTTCGGTAATATTATCTCCCATTAATTACATCAAGGGGCATATTCACTTTTACATAAAAAATATATCTATTAAATATTTGAATTTTTACCTTTTCAACAGTGGTGATCTTGAACGATGGCTGTTGACTGGTGTTTGTGGGTTGACTGCCGCGAAATATATACACGTCTTTCTAAACGAAGTGCCCACTGCGCATGTCAGCATAATGCAAGGAGGGAAAATGTGAACACGGGCTCAATTTCACAGTTTGCATATATGCATATTCATGAGATAATCTTTGTAATGTAGGGCTTGCTTAGAGGCAGTTTGCACCGAACTGAACTGTAGCATGCACTGATTGCACTCCCCAGGGAAGTGGATGTGTTAACGTGATGTATTTGAATACTATCACTCATAGTCTTTTCTTCTATTACCCTTCACTCATAACAGAAAATGCTCCGTCGTTTACCCTCCGTTGCATGCACATCTTATATTGGAACAAAGCTGATTCTTTTCAATGTTTGTGGAATATCAACCAAAGGTAGCTGGATAGTGAAACATCATTTACTGAGTACCTGAACGAACTTACTACGTCGTGCACTCCAACAACTAATCTTCCAAAAACAAGTTAAGTCCAAACGGTATAACTTGTCCAATTACCCTGAAATGAGTGTTTACTGCAGCCATTGAAACTAGGTTTCCTGACTCTGTATCAGTAAGTTATTCAGAGCTTTGAGTTTTAATAATTTCATGACTTGACCTTGACCATTATCATAGCTGTGAGTTTTAATCATTTCATGGCTTGATCTTTACCATTGTCATAGCTGTGAGTTTTTATAATTTCATGACTTGATCTTTACCATTATCATAGCTGTGAGTTTTAAACATTTCATGGCTTGATCTTTACCCTTGTCATAGGTGTGTGTTATAATCATTTCATGGCTTGATCATTACCATGTCAGATCTTTAACCTTGTCAGTGCTGTGTGTTTTAATCATTTCATGGCTCGATCTTTAACCTTGTCAGAGCTGTGTGTTTTAATCATTTCATGGCTTGATCTTTACCCTTGTCAGAGCTGTGTGTTTTAATCATTTCATAACTTGATCTTTACCCTTGTCAGAGCTGTGTGTTTTAATCATTTCATGGCTTGATCTTTACCCTTGTCAGAGCTGTGTGTTTTCATCATTTCATGGCTTGATCTTTACCCTTGTCAGAGCTGTGTGTTTTAATCATTTCATGGCTTGATCTTTACCCTTGTCAGAGCTGTGTGTTTTAATCAGTTCATGGCTTGATCTTTACCCTTGTCAGAGCTGTGTGTTTTAATCATTTCATGGCTTGATCTTTACCCTTGTCAGAGCTGTGTGTAGAGCTGAGTTTTAATCATTGCATGGCTTGATCTTTACCCTTGTCAGAGCTGTGTGTTTTAATCAGTTCATGGCTTGATCTTTACCCTTGTCAGAGCTGTGTGTTTTAATCATTTCATGGCTTGATCTTTACCCTTGTCAGAGCTGTGTGTTTTAATCATTTCATGGCTTGATCTTTACCCTTGTCAGAGCTGTGTGTTTTAATCATTTCATGACTTGATCTTTACCATTGTCAGAGCTGTGAGTGTTATTTATTTCATGACTTGATCTTAAAATTATCAGAGCTGTGAGTTTTAATTTGTTCATGATATGATCTTCACCATTGCCATAGTTATTCGTTAGATATTATATTAATATCATCCCGATCTTATATTAAAAAATGACACTTCCACTCCTTGGACGACATAAACTAGGTACCTACTCTAATAAAGCAATCCTGGACCAATAATGTATATGCATTTTGATGACTAAATTCTTGAATCCTACACTTCTTTGGAATTGTTTATATTGACAATGATTTCGATGATCACAGCAAAGCGATACATTATTCAGATAATCAAGTACATTCTAAATTTCTAAATGTGTTAGGTGATCCCCCGTTGACTAATAGTTTGAGAGTCTTTTCCTTTCTGTTACTCCTAGTTGTTATGTTTTATATCTCCTGATGTATTACCAAGCAGCGATAGCATCATTCTGTTACTCCTAGTTGTTATGTTTTATATCTCCTGATGTATTACCAAGCAGCGATAGCATCATTCTGTTACTCCTAGTTGTTATGTTTTATATCTCCTGATGTATTACCAAGCAGCGATAGCATCATTCTGTTACTCCTAGTTGTTATGTTTTATATCTCCTGATGTATTACCAAGCAGTGATAGCATCATTCTGTTACTCCTAGTTGTTATGTTTTATATCTCCTGATGCATTACCAAGCAGTGATAGCATCATTCTGTTACTCCTAGTTGTTATGTGTTATATCTCCTGATGTATTACCAAGCAGTAGCATGATAGCATCATTCTGTTACTCCTGGTTGTTATGTTTTATATCTCCTGATGTATTACCAAGCAGCGATAGCATCATTCTGTTACTCCTAGTTGTTATGTGTTATATCTCCTGATGTATTACCAAGCAGCGATAGCATCATTCTGTTACTCCTAGTTGTTATGTTTTATATCTCCTGATGTATTACCAAGCAGTGATAGCATCATTCTGTTACTCCTAGTTGTTATGTGTTATATCTCCTGATGTATTACCAAGCAGTGATAGCATCATTCTGTTACTGCTAGTTGTTATGTTTTATATCTCCTGATGTATTACCAAGCAGCGATAGCATCATTCTGTTACTCCTAGTTGGTATGTTTTATATCTCCTGATGTATTACCAAGCAGCGATAGCATCATTCTGTTACTGCTAGTTGTTATGTTTTATATCTCCTGATGTATTACCAAGCAGCGATAGCATCATTCTGTTACTCCTAGTTGTTATGTTTTATATCTCCTGATGTATTACCAAGCAGTGATAGCATCATTCTGTTACTCCTAGTTGTTATGTTTTATATCTCCTGATGTATTACCAAGCAGTGATAGCATCATTCTGTTACTGCTAGTTGTTATGTTTTATATCTCCTGATGTATTACCAAGCAGTGATAGCATCATTCTGTTACCGCTAGTTGTTATGTTTTATATCTCCTGATGTATTACCAAGCAGCGATAGCATCATTCTGTTACTCCTAGTTGTTATGTTTTATATCTCCTGATGTATTACCAAGCAGCGATAGCATCATTCTGTTACTCTAGTTGTTATGTTTATATCTCCTGATGTATTACCAAGCAGTGATAGCATCATTCTGTTACTCCTAGTTGTTATGTTTTATATCTCTGTTACTGATGTATATCTCCTGATGTATTACCAAGCAGCGATAGCATCATTCTGTTACTCCTAGTTGTTATGTTTTATATCTCCTGATGTATTACCAAGCAGTGATAGCATCATTCTGTTACTCCTAGTTGTTATGTTTTATATCTCCTGATGTATTACCAAGCAGTGATAGCATCATTCTGTTACTCCTAGTTGTTATGTTTTATATCTCCTGATGTATTACCAAGCAGCGATAGCATCATTCTGTTACTCCTAGTTGTTATGTGTTATATCTCCTGATGTATTACCAAGCAGTGATAGCATCATTCTGTTACTGCTAGTTGTTATGTTTTATATCTCCTGATGTATTACCAAGCAGTGATAGCATCATTCTGTTACTCCTAGTTGTTATGTTTTATATCTCCTGATGTATTACCAAGCAGCGATAGCATCATTCTGTTACTCCTAGTTGTTATGTTTTTATATCTCCTGATGTATTACCAAGCAGTGATAGCATCATTCTGTTACTCTAGTTGTTATGTTTTATATCTCCTGATGTATTACCAAGCAGTGATAGCATCATTCTGTTACTCCTAGTTGTTATGTTTTATATCTCCTGATGTATTACCAAGCAGTGATAGCATCATTCTGTTACTCCTAGTTGTTATGTTTTATATCTCCTGATGTATTACCAAGCAGTGATAGCATCATTCTGTTACTGCTAGTTGTTATGTTTTATATCTCCTGATGTATTACCAAGCAGTGATAGCATCATTCTGTTACTGCTAGTTGTTATGTTTTATATCTCCTGATGTATTACCAAGCAGTGATAGCATCATTCTGTTACTCCTAGTTGTTATGTTTTATATCTCCTGATGTATTACCAAGCAGTGATAGCATCATTCTGTTACTGCTAGTTGTTATGTTTTATATCTCCTGATGTATTACCAAGCAGTGATAGCATCATTCTGTTACTCCTAGTTGTTATGTTTTATATCTCCTGATGTATTACCAAGCAGTGATAGCATCATTCTGTTACTCCTAGTTGTTATGTGTTATATCTCCTGATGTATTACCAAGCAGCGATAGCATCATTCTGTTACTCCTAGTTGTTATGTTTTATATCTCCTGATGTATTACCAAGCAG